CTGTGCGAGTGACCAATATATTGCTCGTTAACCATGTGAACTTTTTCAACAAGTATGGATTATAGGCAAGAATATGTTTGAGAATGTAGTTCCCACGGTGCACCATTCTCATACGTAGCCGATCTCGCCAAGGCGAAACTGCCACGCCAGACTTGGCTCACCTGGCAGCATTGTTGGGCGAGATTCTGTCCATTGTTCTGAGAAGGCATCGCATTCTGTGAACAGTTCAAGTAAAACGCCAATTGCCCGCAACAGTTCAAGCATCACCGCTCACGCCACCGTCAATTCCACCCTACAGACTTGGACAAACACTGAACAAGTTGCCTCAGATGTAGCGATTGTGAGTTGCGTGGCTTCCTGCTCGAAGCTTTTGCGGCCAGCAGAAATCTGTTCAATCGACGATTTGCAACCTTTCCCCCCTTCTATCATGGCAAGCTTGCTCTGCCCGCTGCCTTGTTGCTAAGTGCTCAGTTCGTAAATGTAGGAACAATGGGTGAACGTGGGAGACTGACTAGTCGTTCCGTATGAGCATGCGACTAGTAGTGGTAGTTGTGAGTGGGCGTGAGTTGTTCAGAGAGTTGCTCTGGATATATGTGTTCGTGAGGGGATGGATTGAGCGCAAAGGTTTGTGAGGTGGGGTGGGGTTGAGAGATTTGGGGTTTGGGGAGGTTGCCGCACGAACCTGCTGGCCCGGTTTGAAATTTTGTGAATTTCACCGCGGACCGCGGATTTCGTGCGCCTGATTGGCTTATTTGCTGCCGACGAGCCGCACGCGAGGGTGACTGAGAGCGGGGTGATGAAGCACGCTTGGGGGCTGCCGCAGATGACGGAACGGGTTGTGCGGGGCGGTGCTGTGCTTGCGTGGCGACGGTGCTGAATGGGGTGGGGAGGGAACGGCGGGTGCACACAGGCGCAGGCATCAGCAAAAACGACAAGTGAATCGCGTTGACCGCAAACCTCGCTGAAAGGCGCAAGGTTAGAACACAGGAGATGGAAACAGAAAATACATTTCATACATGAAAACATATAAAAAGTAGTAGAAGCCATTTTGTTGATACATGAAACATCACAAGAGTAACAAAGAATAAAATCTTTCACGCATAATCTTCTGATATTCATATCAAAATTGGCTGTATTATCATCTGGAATACAACAAAAAAACTGGATGATTCCAATTATAAATTTCAAATGGGTTGTGACGAGCTAGAAAGTCGATTTGTGGTGGCATTAGACTAACAAGGGTGCCCAGGGCTACAAAACGTGGTGCGCAACTGCTGCGAGTGCCGGAATTGAGTGGCGATGTCGCTCTGGCATATTCTGCCCAAAGTGTTCGAGGAGCTGCCGGGGGGCAAAAGGGGCGGTTGCAGGGGGTTGTGAGGGGCGAGGAAGCCAATTTGGGGTGGCATTAGCCTAAATAAGGTGCCCAGTGCTTGAAAATTTGGCTTGCGACTGTCGCGAAAGCCGAGATTGAGTGGCGGTGCTGCTCTGGCGGATTCTGGCCAGAGCGTCCGGAGAGCTGCCAAGGGGGAAAAATGGGCAGTTGTAGAGAGTTGTGAGGGGCCAGGAAGTAGATTTGGGATGGCATTAGAATAAAAAAGGTGCGCAGGGCCTCATAATTCAAATTCTAACTGTTGCGAATACCGAAATTGAGTGGCGGTGCTGCTCTGGCAGATTCTGGCCAGAGTGTTCAAGGAGCTGCCGGGGGGCAAAAGGGGCGGTTGCAGGGGGTTGTGAGGGGCGAGGAAGCCAATTTGGGGTGGCATTAGCCTAAATAAGGTGCCCAGTGCTTGAAAAATTGGCTTGCGACTGTTGCGAATGCCGAAATTGAGTGGCGGTGCTGCTCTGGCGGATTCTGGCCAGAGCGTCCGGAGAGCTGCCAAGGGGGAAAAATGGGCAGTTGCAGAGAGTTGTGATGGGCCAGGAAGTAGATTGGGATGGCATTAGAATAACAAAGGTGCACAGGGCCTCATATATCAATTTCTAACTGTTGCGAATGCCGAAATTGAGTGGCGGTGCTGCTCTGGCAGATTCTGGCCAGAGTGTTCAAGGAGCTGCTGGGGGGAAAAGGTGCAGTTGCAGGGGGTTTTAAGGACACTGGAAGTCGATTTGGGGTGGCATTAGCTTAAAGAAGGTGAGGGCTTGAAAAAGGAACTTGCAACTGTTGCGAGTGCCGGAATTGGGTGGCGGTGCTGCTCTGGCAGATTCGGACCAGAGCGTTCGGGGAGCTGCCGGGGGGCAAAAGGTGGAGTTGCAGTGGGTTTTGAGGGGCCAAGAAGTCGATTTCGGATGGAATTTGCCTAACAGAGGTGCACATGGCTTCAAAAAGTGGCGTGCAACTATTGCAAATGCCGAAATTGAGTGGCGGTGCTGCTCTGGCAGATTCTGGTCAGAGTGTTCGAGGAGCTCCAGTGGGGGGCAAAAGGGGCAGCTGCAGTGGGTTTTGAGGGGCAATAAGGTCGATTTGGGGTGGCAATAGACTAATAAAGGTGCCCAGGGCTTCGAAGAATGGTTTGCAACTGTTGTGAGAGCCAAAATGCCCTAGCGGTGCTTACCAGTGCGCTCTGTCAGATTCTGGCCAGGGAGTTCGAGGAACTCCCGGAGGTAAAAAAGGGGCAGTTGCAGTGGGTTATGAGAGGCTTGAAAGTCAATTTGGGGTATAATTGGATTATTTAAGGATCCCAGGGCATTGACAAATGGTTTGCAACTGTTGCGAGAAACAATTTGCCCTGGCGGTGCTTACTAGTGCGCTCTGGGAGATTCTGGCCAGGGTGTTTGGAGAGCTCCTCTTGGGCAAAAGAGGCAGTTGCAGTGGGTTGTGAGGGGCTCGAAATTCTAATTGGGGTGGCATTAGACTAATGAAGGCGCCCAGGGCTTTGAAAAATGGTTTGCATTTGTTGCGAGAGCCAAAATGCACTTGCGATGCTTACGAGTGCGCTCTGGCAGATTCTGGCCAGGGTTTTTGGGGAGCTTCCGGAGGGAAAGAGAAGCCATTTCAGTGGGTTGTGAGGAGCTAGAAAGTCGATTTGAGGTGGCAGTATGCTAATATAGGTTCCCAGGACTATATAAAATGGTTTGCAATAGTTCCGAGTGCCAAAATGCCCGGGCGGTGCTTACTAGTGCGCTCTGGTAGATTCTGGCCAGCGTGTTCGGGGAGCTTCGGGAGGGCAAATGGGGCAGTTGCAGTGGGTTGTGGAGTTCCATCAGACTAACATAGGTTCCCAGGGTTATAAAAAATGGTTTGCTACAGTTGCGAGCGCCAAAATGCCCTGGCGGTGCTTACCAGTGCGCTCTGGCAGATCCTGGCCACGGCGTTCAGGGAGCTCCCAGGCGGCAAAAGGGGCAGTTGCAGTGGGTTGTGATGGGCTATAAAGTTGATTTGGGGTGGCATTAGACTAGTTAAGGTGTCCATGTTGTTACAAACTGGTCTGGTGCTTTTGCGAGAGCCCAAGTGCCTTGGTGGTGCTGCTCGGTGTGCTCTGGCACATGCTAATCAGGACGTTCAGGGAAGTTTCTGAGGGCCAAAAGGGGCAGTTACGTAGGTTCTGAAAGCCCAAAAAGTGGTCTGGTGCTTTTGAGAGAGTCAAGATTCCCCGTTGGTTCTCCCCGATGCGCTCTGGCAGATTCTAGCCAAGGTGTCGCAGTCTACTAGAGTCGCTACTTCTGCAATGTCCTCTTGGGTCAACTCAGAAATCACCTACCTGTCATCTCCATTGCTACGCTTTGCGTGATTCACCTTCTTAGCATTTGCACCAGCGAGACTGCCTGGTTGCTGTTTGCTTGTGTAGACATGGTGCTCCCACCGCAGCTTCCTCTCGCTGGTGTAACCTGCATCACTGTTAAGAAATTTTAGAAGCGACACTGGCAAATGCTTGTTGCATCTCTTCTTTTTCTCCCACCCCCCCAAGTCTCGACGCCCATCTGAGACCTCATATACCTCTCTCACAACCGCAGGCCCTTCTCCAAAGTGCTTGTCCCTCTTCCCTGCTCTCTCTCCCTGTATTCTCTGATAGCATCCTAGAAACTTATCTGCATCCCCCCCCTTCCTCCCATCCCCCTAACTTTTGGGAGAACTTACAAACTCCACAGGTTCTAATCTTGTTCCCAAAATCCATTGCCTTTTCCTCAGCCATCACCCTTCTCGCCCATGTCCCCTACCTCCAAGCACTCTCCCTCTCTCACAACTTCTTTATTAACACGCCCCTTGACTGCAGGTAGTTCTGCCATCTGGTAGTGCTTCTTTGCCTAAGAGGGATGCACCAACTGCCAGGGGTTGATTGCACCCAAGAAGCTCGGGTTACAGTTGGCGGATGCTTCCGCACCTGGTGCTCTTCATGAGGCTTATGTGCGGCGCACTGCTGCTGCTGCTGCTGCTGCTGCTGCTGCTGCTGCTGCTGCGGCTGCTGCTGTTGCTGCTGCTGCTGCTAGCTCTCTCTCTCTCTCTCTCTCTCTCTCTCTCTCTCTCTCTCTCTCTCTCTCTCTCTCTCTCTCTCTCTCTCTCTCTCTCTTTCTCTCTCTCTCTCTCTCTCTCTCTCTCTCTCTCTATCTCTCTCTCTCTCTCTCTCTCTCTCTCTCTCTCTCTCTCTCTCTCTCTCTCTCTCTCTCTCTCTCTCTCCCCCCTACCGCAGCTGGTTCTCGTGGATGGTCTCCTGCAAGAAGCACTGCTGCTACAGTTAGCACAGAACCACTCTAGTGCCTTCTTTCTACACACCGAGGCTTACAACAGAGCTTCCGTGTAAACCGTTGTTTGTGTCTGATAACGGTTGTACATTTCGTTACCCTAGCTATCCACAAAAGGAAGTCACAGGTTAGAACTCTTGCTTTGTCAAAATTGAACCAAAATATGTGATGAAGAGACATTACAAAGGCACCATTTCTAGCCTACTATTCTACTACCTAGTTTACTTGAGCGTCAGCATGCGTGTGTGGTGCCCCTGTAATGTTCCCCCACCACCCCAATAATCATCATTGTTTTGTTTCGACGAATCACAGCTTCCCACCAATCATTTTTCCTGAGAGTGACCCGTCAGCCCCGGAAAATCCGAGGTAAGGTCATCATTGGTGACCACTTGGAGTGATGCGAGCACATCCGCCACGTCAGCAGCCGACACCTTCACGACATTGGCCAGCGACCAAGACACAGGGCTCATGGGCTGCCATGTGCCAGGGAGGGTGAGGACTGCTGAAGCAGCATTGCTGCAGGGGCTGCCCTTGAAGATGGCCTGAGATTCTGGAGCCTTGGTGACTCCAGCTGCGTAGAGGTAGTATGTGACCAGGTAGTCCGAGCCACTGCATTGTGGGTTGAGGGGAGGTTGATGGGGTGAGAGGGAAAATAACACACGTTTAACATTCAAGCAGCAAAGGGCAAAAGAAGCCAGCAGTAGTCAATAGCAGTCAACGTGAGTCAACAGGGGTTAATAGGGGTCACTTACATCTTGAGGATCTGAAGGTCGGCAGCACCGGCCTGGAGAGACTGCAGGCCGTTGCATGAAGTCAGCACGCTACGCAGCATGCCAGCCTGCTGGGGCAGAAGATTCGTGAGGCCCGACACCACGCTGCTGTCGCCAGCCGCGTTCAAACCGGCGTTCACAGCACTGTTCAGAGCACCGCTCAGGCCGTTCACCATCCCAGCGAGCGCAGACATGTTCGCGTTGAGACCCGCTACTTTCTGCGTCACTGCCGCCAGCCGCTGCCTCAGCGCCGCTCGGATCGCAGTGCTCTGCCTCAAGGAAGCAGCACCGGATGCAATCGACGCTCGCGCCGAGCCTACTCCCGAGCCTATGCCTGAGCCGATAATCCCAGCTAGTTCCTTGTTCAAAGCAGCGATGCTGGTGCTAATCGAGGAGATGTTGGATTGAACGCCTGAGATCTGAGAAACCAGATCCTTAGTAACGGTCAGATTGGTCCCTGAGATGTTCAACGCGTTCAAACTGACGAGGCTCGCATTCAAAGCACCGAGGTTGGCTTTTAGCGCGGTTATCTGTGCCTGGAGCGCGGCGCTTGCAGCTGGCGCGGTGCTGCTGACTGTTGCCAAGAATTTCTCGAGCGGTGTTCCTAGAAGCTCGTCTAGAGACGCAATCTGGTCGTTCACGGATGTCTGGAGGTCGGAGAGCGTTGAACCGAGGGTTGCTGCGAGGCTGCTGCTACTGGCTGCTGCGCCTGCCACCGCGACAGCTGAGTCTAAGCTGCTTGGCAGTCGGTTGGAGGCGCTGGGAAGAAATCGACTTGCATCGGCTTGTTGTGTTGCCAAAAGCACTGCAAATGAAGAAAAAACAGAGAGTGAGCGTTTTTTTTTGTCAGTTTTCAATCAAACTAAGCTGCAAGATGTGATTCAGTTGCTTGGCGTGTCAAGCTAAGACTTCCGCAGCTACTACTAACGACGGCACAGTTATGGCAAGTGCTCTCACCTGTGAAGAGCAGTGCAACAAACGTGGAAGGTGCTGAAGTGCCGTGTGCCATTTGACGGTTGGGAGATACGACGCGAACAAACGAAGAACTGTCAATGAGGCGCTACTGGAGAGAAGGAATCGAGCAGGCGTTTTTTCCAATGCCACGAAATTATAGGCGCAGACGAGGGAAAGCGAGTATCTTAGTACCTAGCACTAGGTATGAGCATGCGACTAGTAGTAGTAGTACTAGTAGTTGTGAGTGGGCGTGAGTTGTTCAGAGAGTTGCTCTGGATATATGTGTTGAGGGGATGGATTGAGCGCAAAGGTTTGTGAGGTGGGGTGGGGTTGAGAGAGTTGGGGTTTGGGGAGGTTGCCGCACGAACCTGCTGGCCCGGTTTGAAATTTTGTGAATTTCACCGCGGACCGCGGATTTCGTGCGCCTGATTGGCTTATTTGCTGCCGACGAGCCGCACGCGAGGGTGACTGAGAGCGGTGGAAGCACGCTTGGGGGCTGCCGCAGATGACGGAACGGGTTGTGCGGGGCGGTGCTGTGCTTGCGTGGCGACGGTGCTGAATGGGGTGGGGAGGGAACGGCGGGTGCACACAGGCGCAGGCATCAGCAAAAACGACAAGTGAATCGCGTTGACCGCAAACCTCGCCGAAAGGCGCAAGGTTAGAACACAGGAAATGGAAGCAGAAAATACATTTCATACATGAAAACATATAAAAAGTAATAGAAACCATTTTGTTCATACATGATGCTTCGATCAGAAGTTGATCGTGGCCTAGGATCTACTCAGGAAGGTTCGCACGTAGTGTTATAGTTTGGTGGGCCCTTGACCTCAATAGCAGAGTGAATGTAAAATGCTTGAGATGAAATAAAACATGCAAAAACAAGAAATATAAATATGAGTACAAGGGAATACGAAACGACCTAACTAGCCATGTACTCTAAGGGGTACATTCCCTTATTCAAATTCATTCCCAACCGTGCGGCGCGTACAGTTTCGTAACTGTTCCCGCCAAAACCATCCTGCCCGCAGCTCCCCGATGCCGTCTGCTTCCGACGGTCCAGATGTGCTGTAACCGTCTGACTCTTCGGTTCAATTCCAACCGTCTGACGTTACGCGTTCGTTCCCGGTATTGCGTGCTTCTCTTTGCTGCGGTGAGGAGTGCACAGTAATATCAAGTATTACCATTCGTAACACCCCCCTTCACTCCTGGCCGTAGCTCGACTTGACCTGCTTGACCACGCCGCTGAGTTCGGAGCAGTGTTGATACTGCTGGCGTGGCAGTCGCTTTGTGAGGAAGTCTGCTGCCATGTCACCGGTCGGGCAGTAGGTCAAGTTGACCTTGCCCTTGTCCACCTCGTCCTTCACGAAGAAGTACCGCAGCGCGATGTGCTTGGTGCGGTTGACGAAACCAGGTTTGTTCGCGATACGAATTGCGCTTTTTTGTCGCAGTGAAGACAGAAGGTCGGCGAAGTCGGAATTTTCGCCTCTTGCAGGAGTTCCTGCAGGTAGAGGCCTTCGCGAACTGCTGCGGTTGCTGCGATGAATTCCGCTTCGGCTGATGACAGGGCAACCAATTCCTGCTTCTGTGAATTCCAGGAGATTGGTCCCGATGGCTCGAGTCGGAACAGGAAGCCGGTCCTGGACCGTCGATTATCAGGGTCTGCTGCGTGATCGGCGTCCACGTAGCCGATGAGGTTGAAGGATGGAGTTGGTGCAGTTGAGTAGCACAACCCAATCTTGGGCGTTGAAACGAAGAATTGAAGAGCGCGCTGCAGGTCCAGATGATTCTCAGCCGTTGGTTTGCGTGAGTACTTCGCCAGCTGACCAACAATGTACGAGAGGTCTGGCCTGCAGGTGACAGAGGCGAAGAGAAGGCATCCCAGCTGCTGCTGGTAAGTCTGAATCCCAGCAGGGGACAGGGCTTTGTTGTCAGGTTTGTGGTTCGGTCCGGGGGTGCGATAGGGAGTTGAGAGAGATGCCGGTGAAATGTTGAACCGCTTCCCTAACTCCTCTGCGTACTTAGCCGCTGAAAGGTGAATGGCCTCAGGAGCGTAGGAGATGTTGAGGCCTAGGAACTGCTTCACCTCGTAGTTGCAAATAATGTCGACGCGCCCCGCCAAAGCCTTCTCGAACTGTTCGAGGAGCTCGTTGTTCGACCCTGTGTAAAGCAGGTCGTCGACATACACCGTGAGAAGGATGTATTCGCCGCGGAAGTCGCGGCGGTACATCCTTGGGTCGTGCGGCATCCACTTGAATCCAATTTCAAGCAGGATGTTGTGCAGGTACTGCTGCCACAGCCTCGTAGCCTGCTTAATGCCGTAAAGTGAGTTGCGCAGCTGACACACGCGCGAGTCTCCTTCGCCGTAGGTGTGCGGCTGCTCCACGTAAATCACGGCGTCCACTAACGCGTACAGGAACGCGTTCTTCACATCGATCTGGCGAAGTGGCAGGTGCCTTGCAGCTGCGATGGCGAGCAGAATGCGGACGGAGGTGTGACGGCTAACCGGGGCGAACGTTTGATCGAAGTCGATCCCGTGCCTCTGATCGTAGCCGCGAACCACCCAGCGCGCCTTGAAGCGCTCGATCGTTCCGTCCGCTGCGGTCTTCACGCGGAAGACCCACTTGCCCGAGAGGATTCTTGCGCCTTTGATTGCCGCGCGGTCGACGAGCACCCAGGTGTCGCGTGACTCCAGTGCCTTGATTTCCGCGTCCATCGCCTCACGCCACTCCTTGCTGTGTGGTCCAGAGAGAGCCTCGCGCGGATTTCGGGGCTCGATGACGCGTGGCGCTTTCGAGGTTGCAGCGTGAAGCCCGAGCAGCTGCAGCCCCGAGACGGTGCTGTCGTGGCGACGTTGCGGGATGACTTCCTGCACGTCATCGTCGTCGCTTTCAGGTTCAGGTGGTGCTGGTGGTGCTGCGCCTCCGCCGCTTCCGCCTGTTCCGCTTCCGCCTACTCCTCCTCCCGAGGAGTTATCGTCGTCGTCATCGCTGCTGCGCCGATCTTCCCACGTGAATTCTCCCCTTGTGTCCTGCTCCAGAATTGCTGCAGCGGCTTCGTCTTCAGGCGTTGCGTAGCTATGCCCATTGTTCGCGTAGACGCGATCCGCGCTCTTTTGCTCGTCGTCGCGGAACTGGTCGAGGAAGAGGCGTTCGTAGAAGATTACGTCGCGGGCATGGGAGGTCTTCTGGCTCAGGAGGTCCAACACGATCCACGCCTTATACTCGTGGCTGATGCCGAGGTGAATTCCCCAGCGCGCGCGGCTGGCGAATTTGCCAATAGTTGACGTTGGCGGGCGGTACTGCACCATGCACCCCCATACGCGCAGCATCGATGTGTCCCCCTTAGTCCCGGTCCACTTGACGTGCGGGGACAAGTTGCCGGTGATGGATGTGGTCGAAAGCAGGTTGTGCACCCGCACGGCGTGGTGCATAGCGTAGGTCCAGTAGGTCGGCGGAAATTTTGACTGCTTCATCAGCGCGCGCACCTTCGACATCAGTGAGCGGTTTGTCCGCTCAGCTACGCCCTGCTGCTGGTGCGCGTAGGGGAGAGAGATGTGGTGCTCGATCCCCTTTTGCGCCAGGAAGGTCTGCATCTGGTTGCTCCTGAATTCTGCTGCGCCGTCAGATTGCCAGATCTTGAGTTTCTTCCCAGATTGCCGCTGCGCATGTGCCAGCCAGAGGCGGAACACCTCGTAGGCTCTGTCGCGGGTTTCCACGTTTACGACCCATACGTAGCGCGTTCCAGCGTCGATGAAGGTAAGAGTGTATAAATTGTCCTCGACTCCGCAATGCCCTACACTCAGGAAATCGCTGTACACCTTGTGCAGCTTGGGGTAGCGGTTGGTTCCAGGTTCGAGCAGCGGGAATGGTTGGTGGCTCAGTGCAGCTTCGGGGCAGACGGTGCAGTTGCGCGGATGTGTCGCGCCGCTCACTTCGGAGCCATCAGGGCGCAGGAGTGCGCCAGGAGCGAAGACGCCAGCGTCGATGCAGTTTTTCAGCGTCGCGCGGGAGGGGTGTCCGAGGTGCTGATGCCAGAGTGCATCGTCAGCGCGAAAGCCGAAAGTGCGCATGTAGCGCGCGCGCACCTCCTCAGGGTCTTCGTCAGGTGCGGGAGCAGGTTCCGCTGCTACTTCTTCTGCTTCTTCTTCTGCCGCGGTGGTCAGCATCAACGCCAAGAACTCTCTGTTGCGGATTTCAGAGAGCGGGATGTTGGTCCCAGGGATGGTTCCAGGGACAAGGGTAGGTTGGCGTGGTTCAGGGGCAGGTCCGTAGACAGTGCGACGCGGGGTTGACGGCTCGTTGCCCCAGATAATGGTATCCCACGGGTCGCGATGTGGAGGAATGTCTGCAGGAGGTGGTGCGAGCGGGATGTGGCGCGGGGGACGACCGAGAGGAACGACTGCAGGTGCTGCTTCGGTTTCCGCGGCTTCTTCCTCTTCCCCCCTTCGTTCTTCGCGGGAAGTGCCCCAGCCGCTATTGTCGGCGCCAGATGCGGCGCCCCATCCGCCGCTCGCGTTGGCCCAGGTTCCGCCGTTGTCTCCCCATCCGCCAGTGTCACTTGTTCCCCATCCGCCAGCGCTTCCCCACCCCCCTTCATTGGAGGCGCTTGCTTCCTCCTCGGCTCCCCAGGCGGCGCAAGCGAAGGTCCCGCGGGCTTCCGCGAGGCTTTGCTGGCGAAGCTCCTCGGCTTCGCGGCGCGCCAGTTCCTCCTCTTGTTCCACGGTGAGTTTCTTCGACGAGTCGCGGCGATGGGAGTAAATCTCCAGAAACTTCTCGCGGGTGTAGGGTCGCGGCTCGCCATGGGCGTCGAAGGTGCCGATCCCAGTTCCGCGCAACATTCCTTGAAGGTGCTGTGAGGGGGGGCCGACGAGAGGATGTTCTGCCGTGCCGAAGACGGCGTGGGTGGTTACTTCAAGCTCGAGCTGCGACATCCCTTCTTCTGGTGGCGCGTGTCGCTCTGCTTCCGCAATGGCGGCGAGTCCGCGGCCGGCGAACGCGCTCGTTGATGTCGTCGGCATGTGGCAGTCCCTGCAGTTCCCATATGGATCGGGGTTGTGCAGCGCCGTTTCGCGTGGGTGGGGATGATGCGGCACCCACGGTCTTCCGTCAGGGTGCTTCCAATCCCTGCGGTGGATGTGCTCGAAGCGGAGTGGCACGAGGTCGATTAGCTCATGCGAGTCGCCGCTGAAGTCAGGAATATCAAAGTCCAAGACGTATAGCGGATATTGCCCCTGGGCTGGACGCACGTCGCCTCGTGCGTCTTGTCGGCCGGACCAGGTGCTCGGATTGGTCTGGCGAGGGCGGGATCAACTCTTGCATCGATCCGCCAGATGCCCGAAATTTCTGCAGATTTTGCAGTAGAGGCGCCGTGGCTTTCGCTCTTCGGTGTTGTCGGCGTAGAAGGCGAGCCTTTCGCGTTCTCGTCGTGGCGCAGGTGCCGCCAAGCGTTAAGGGCTGGAGCAGCCGAAGTTTTGTAAGAACGAATGTTGAGCTGCTCCGCCGGCGACATATTCCGCAGGAGCACCCCGTATGCCATCAGCGACTCGTCGTAATACCTCGCCTTGGCGTCGTCGGTGTCCTCAGCGGGCTCCGCGTAGCTCCCGTCAAAATAATGGACGATTCGGGCGTTCTGCAGCAAGAGCTCCAACTCGAAGCTCCAGGTGTAAAACTCTTTGCCGTCAAAACAGGTACTTGTCTTTATTTTTGATATGCTGAGAAACCTTGATTGAGCGGAGAGAATTGCCTCTTCACTGGGACGGGGAGCCTTGGGGGTTGAGCCATTGGTGTCGAGGGAGAATGTTTGCGGGGTGGCGTTCTGGCCAGTCGGGGCCGGTTGAGAGGGTTGCGAGGATGTTCCCGCATCGCCATTCCGCAATGTTTGGAGTCCTTGCTCCAAGCTGGTGAGTCGCTGAAGGAGTTGTGCGAGAACCTCGGAGCTGATTGTCGTCGTGTTCTCGCTTGTCGCAGCCGGGTTGGGTTGCGCTTCAGCCGTCAGATTGGTCTGACCACCAGATCCTCCGGCCATCTTCACTCGTGAGCGTGTGCCGGACGCCACTTTCCGAATGTCGCAATTTTCGGGAGTGGCAGTGCGAAGGATTCCCGAGCCGCTCTCATACCATGCTGCGATCAGAAGTTGATCGTGGCCTAGGATCTACTCAGGAAGGTTCGCACGCAGTGAGATAGTTTGGTGGGCCCTTGACCTCAATAGCAGAGTGAATGTAAAATGCTTTGAGATGAAATAAAACATGCAAAAACAAGAAATATAAATATGAGTACAAGGGAATACGAAACGACCTAACTAGCCATGTACTCTAAGGGGTACATTCCCTTATTCAAATTCATTCCCAACCGTGCGGCGCGTACAGTTTCGTAACTGTTCCCGCCAAAACCATCCTGCCTGCAGCTGCCCGATGCCGTCTGCTTCCGACGGTCCAGATGTGCTGTAACCGTCTGACTCTTCGATTTCAATTCCAACCGTCTGACGTTTCGCGTTCGTTCCCGGTATTGCGTGCTTCTCTTTGCTGCGGTGAGGAGTGCACAGTAATATCAAGTATTACCATTCGTAACACATGAAACATCACAAGAGTAACAAAGAATAAAATCTTTCACACATTATCTTCTGATATTCATATCAATTTGGTTTTCTTATCATCTGGAATACAACAAAAAAAAAAACTGGATAATTCCAATTATAAATTTCAAATGGGTTGTGACGGGCTAGAAAGTCGATTTGTGGTGGCATTAGACTCACAAAGGTGCCCAGGGCTATAAAAAGTGGTTCGCAACTGCTGCGAGTGCCGGAATTGAGTGGCGATGTCGCTCTGGCATATTCTGCCCAAAGTGTTCGAGGAGCTGCCGGGGGGCAAAAGGGGCGGTTGCAGGGGGTTGTGAGGGGCGAGGAAGCCAATTTGGGGTGGCATTAGCCTAAAGAAGGTGCCCAAAACTTTAAAAGTTGGCTTGCGACTGTTGCGAATGCCGAAATTGAGTGGCGGTGCTGCTCTGGCGGATTCTGGCCAGAGCGTCCGGAGAGCCGCCAAGGGGGGGAAATGGGCAGTTGCAGAGAGTTGTGAGGGGCCAGGAAGTAGATTTGGGATGTAATTAGAATAAAAAACGTGCGCAGGGCCTCATAATGCAATTTTCAACTGTTGCGAATGCCGAAATTGAGTGGCGGTGCTGCTCTGGCAGATTCTGGCCAGAGTGTCCAGAGAGCTTCTAGGGGGAAAAAATGGGCAGTTGCAGAGGGTTGTGAGGGGCCAGGAAGTAGATTGGGATGGCGTTAGAATAACAAAGGTGCACAGGGCCTCATATATTAATTTGAAAATGCCGAAATTGAGTGGCGGTGCTGCTCTGGCAGATTCTAGCCAGAGTGTTCAAGGAGCTGCCGGGGGGGGAAAGGTGCAGTTGCAGGGGGTTGTGAGGGGCGAGGAAGCCAATTTGGGGTGGCATTAGCCTAAATAAGGTGCCCAGTGCTTGAAAAATTGGCTTGCGACTGCTGCGATTGCCGAGGTTGAGTGGCTGTGCAGCTCTGGCAGATTCTGGCCAGAGTGTCCGGAGAGCTGCCAGGGGGGAAAAAATGGGCAGTTGCAGAGAGTTGTGAGGGGCCAGGAAGTAAATTTGGGATGGCATTAGAATAAAAAAGGTGCGCAGGGCCTCAAAAAGTGGTTTGCAACTGTTGCGAATGCCGAAATTGAGTGGCGGTGCTGCTCTGGCATATTCTGGCCAGAGTGTTCAAGGAGCTGCCGGGGGGCAAACGGTGCGGTTGCAGGGGGTTGTGAGGGTCCAGAAAGTCGATTTAGGATGGCATTAGCCTAACAGAGGTGCACAGGGCTTCAAAAAGTGGATTGCAACTGTTGCGAATGCCGAAATTGAGTGGCGGTGCTGCTCTGGTAGATTCTGGCCAGAGTGTTCGGGAAGCTGCCGGGGGGCAAAAGGGGCGGTTGCAGGGGGTTTTAAGGAGCCTGAAAGTCGATGTGCGGTGGCATTAGCTTAAAGAAGGTGCCCAGGGCTTGAAAAAGGAACTTGCAACTGTTGCGAGTGCCGGAATCGGGTGGCGGTGCTGCTCTGGCAGATTCTGGCCAGAGTGTCCGGGGAGCTGCCGGGGGGCAAACCGTGGAGTTGCAGTGGGTTTTGAGGGGCCAAGAAGTCGATTTCGGATGGAATTTGCCTAAAAGAGGTGCTCAGGGCTTCAAAAGGTGGCGTGCAACTATTCCAAATGCCGAAATTGAGTGGCGGTGCTGCTCTGGCAGATTCTGGCCAAAGTGTTCGGGGAGCTCCAGTGGGGGGCAAAAGGGGCATTTGCAGTGGGTTTTGAGGGGCTAGAAAGTCAATTTGGGGTGGCAATAGACTAATAAAGGTGCCCAGGGCTTCGAAGAATGGTTTGCAACTGTTGCAAGAGCCAGAATGCCCTAGCGGTGCTTACCAGTGCGCTATGTCAGATTCTGGCCAGGGAGTTCGAGGAACTCCCGGAGGTAAAAAAGGGGGCAGTTGCAGTGGGTTATGAGATGCTTGAAAGTCAATTTGGGGTAGAATTGGATTAATTAAGGAGCCCATGGCTTTGACAAATGGTTTGCAACTGTTGCGAGAAACAATTTGCCCTAGCGGTTCTTACTAGTGCACTCTGGCAGATTCTGGCCAGGGTTTTTGGGGAGCTTCCGGAGGGCAAGAGAAGCCTTTTCAGTGGGTTGTGAGGATCTAGAAAGTCGATTTGGGGTGGCATTATGCTAATATAGGTTCCCAGGACTATATAAAATGGTTTGCAACAGTTCCGAGAGCCAAAATGCCCTGGCGGTGCTTACTAGTGCGCTCTGGTAGATTCTGGCCAGCGTGTTCGGTGAGCTTCGGAAGGGCAAAAGGGGCAGTTGCAGTGGGTTGTGAGGGTCTAGAAAGTTTTTTTGGAGTTCCATCAGACTAACATAGGTTCCCAGAGTTATTAAAAAATGGTTTGCTACAGTTGCGAGCGCCAAAATGCCCTGGCGGTGCTTACCAGTGCGCTCTGGCAGATTCTGGCCACGGCGTTCAGGGAGCTCCCAGGGGGCAAAAGGGGCAGTTGCAGTGGGTTGTGATGGGCTATCAAGTTGATTTGGGGTGGAATCAGACTAGTAAAGGTGTCCATGTTGTTATAAACTGGTCTGGTGCTTTTGCGAGAGCCCAAGTGCCTTGGTGGTGCTGCTCGGTGTGCTCTGGCACGTGCTAATTAGGACGTTTAGGGAAGTTCCCGAGGGCCAAAAGGGGCAGTTACGTAGGTTCCGAAAGCCCAAAACGTGGTCTGGTGCTTTTGAGAGAGTCAAGGTTCCCCGTTGGTTCTCCCCGATGCGCTCTGGCAGATTCTAGCCAAGGTGTCGCAGTCTACTAGAGTCGCTACTTCTGCAATGTCCTCTTGGGTCAACTCAGAAATCACATACCTGTCCTCCCCATTGCTACGCTTTGCGTGATTCACCTTCTTAGCATTTGCACCAGCGAGACTGCCTGGTTGCTGTTTGCTTGTGTAGACATGGTGCTCCTACCGCAGCTTCCTCTCGCTGGTGTAACCTGCATCACTGTTAAGAGATTTTAGAAGCGACACTGGCAAATGCTTGTTGCATCTCCTCTTTTTCTCCCACCCCCCCAAGTCTCGACGCCCATCCGAGACCTCATATACCTCTCTCACAACCGCAGGCCCTTCTCCCAAGTGCTTGTCCCTCTTTCCTGCTCTTTCTCCCTGTATTCTCTGATAGCATCCCAGAAACTTATCTGCATCCCCCCCTTCCTCCCATCCCCCTAACTTTTGGGAGAACTTACAAACTCCACAGGTTCTAATCTTGTTCCCAAAATCCATTGCCTTTTCCTCAGCCATCACCCTTCTCGCCCATGTCCCCTACCTCCAAGCACTCTCCCTCTCTCACAACTTCTTTATTGACACGCCCCTTGACTGCAGGTAGTTCTGCCATCTGGTAGTGCTTCTTTGCCTAAGAGGGATGCACCAAGTGCCAGGGGTTGATTGCAACCAAGAAGCTCGAGTTCCAGTCGGATGCTTCCGCACCTGGTGCTCTTCATGAGGCTTATGTTCGGCGCACTGCTGCTGCTGCTGCTGCTGCTGCTGCTGCTGCTGCTGCTGCTGCTGCTGCTGCTGCTGCTGCTGCTGCTGCTGCTGCTGCTGCTGCTGCTGCTGCTGCTGCTGCTGCTGCTGAGGCTGCTGCAGGGGCTGCCCTTGAAGTTGGCCTGAGATTCTGGAGCCTTGGTGACTCCAGCTGCGTAGAGGTAGTATGTGACCAGGTAGTCCGAGCCACTGCATTGTGGGTTGGGGGGAGGTTGATGGGGTGAGAGGGAAAAGAGCACATGTTTAACATTCAAGCAGCAAAGGGCAAAAGAAGCCAGCAGTAGTCAACAGCAGTCAACATGAGTACCCATTTAGCGGGGCGTAATTCGGTACCCAAATCTTTCCTGAACCCTTCCTTACCGCTAAGTCTTTCTCCCAATGTAACAGCTTTTGTTTCTCTGCCGTTGCGATTTAGCCGTCTACGGAGTACCCATGTTGGAATAGACCCTTGAGCAGAGGGTTCATCCCGTCGAGTTGGATGCCTGCTACATGACCGAGGCAGCTCAACGCGTCTGCTTTGTTGTGTAGCCCGTGTTTGTAGATGATGTCCTAGTGGATGTGGATCTCCAAGAAATCCACCCACCGCATCTGTCGTCATGAGAGTGTTGGCTGCGATTTCATGTATTTGAGACTGCAGTGGTCAGTGTAAACTGTGGTCTTGGCTCCCTCTAGGTAACACATCCACACCTTGAAGGCTACGACTATAGCTAAGGCTTCCTTGTCGTGAATGGGGTAGTTTAGTTCTGCTCCGTGTAACTTCTTACTGAGGTAGGCGATAGGCTGTAGACCGTTCCTGTAATCCTGCATCAGTACTGCTCCGACTGCCTGGTCACTAGCGTGTGCTTCGACTATGTAGTCTTTTTTCTGGGTCCGGTAGGATGAGTACTGGCGCTGTGGTCAGTGCTGTCTGTAGCTGTTCCATGGCTTGCTGATGAGGAGCACCCCATTTGAAGGGCGTGTCCTTTTTTAGTAGGTCGGTCAGTGGTGCTGCTATCTTAGCGTACTGTGGCACGAACCTATTGTAGTAGTTGACGAAGCCTATGAACTGCTGCAACTCTTTTACATTCTCCGGAACTTTCCACTTTTTAACGGCTTCGATCTTCCGCGGGTCCACGTGTACGCCCTCGGCACTCACCATGTGCCCGAGAAACTGCACCTTCTTTAGTGCGAATTCGCTCTATGACAGCTTCACGTCGAAACTATTTTTCCGCAGGATCTCGAACACCTTCCGCAAATGCTCCACGTGCTCCTTCATGTTCTTGGAGTAGATGAGGATATCGTCCAGGTACATGACTACGCACTCGTCCAGCAGGGGCCGTAGGATGTGGTTCATCTCCGCCTGGAACGTCGCTGGTGCGTTGCAGAGCCCGAACGGCATCACTAAGTACTCGTAGGAGCCGTATCTCGTACGGAATGCCGTTTTGTGGATCGTCTGTCCGTAGTTGGTCCAGTAAGTCGTCTGTGCGCAGTATGGGATATTTTTTTTTAACTGTCTGTCTATTCAGTGCGCAATAGTCGATGCACATCCATAAATTGCCGTATGGTTTTGGGGTGAAGAGGACTAGTGCGCCGTAGGGAGAGGTGGAGGGGCGGATCAGTTGTCGATCTAATTTTTCATGTCTGTCAGTTCGGTCGGACTCAGTCGGTATGGTGCACGTGAGATGGGTTTCGCACCTGGTTCCTCCACGATCTCGTGCTCGTGGGTGCGTGTTGGAGGTACGCCTGTGGGTAGGTCGTCGAGAATTATATCCTTGTACTGCTCCAAGACCTCCTTCACTGCCGGAGGTAGCTCGGAACTCGGCTTCTCCTCCTCTGCTGCTGCCATGACCAGTGCTAGGTAACCCGTGTTACTCTCGTTCACCGTCTGTTCGAACCGTGCCAGTGTCGTTTCAGGAATGTCCCCTGTATCCGTCCAGCTTCATAGTGCTATCCGCTTCCTGTTGTTGTAGATCCAGACCTTGCTGTTGACCCAATCGATCTCGGGGTTGAACCGCTTCAGGAAATCTCGCCCCAAGATAAAATCTAACCCTTTGATGTTGGTGACTGGTAGCTTCGGCTTCCACCTTAACGCACCTATATGCAGCTGCAGTGATGCTTCGCCGTGGATGGGAAGCTTTGTACCGTCCACCATTGTTGCTACGAATTGGGTCTCCTCCGCCTTCTCTCCAATTTTCTCCAATGCTCCGCGGTCACACACCGAGTGAGATGCACCGCTGTCCACCAGTGCCTGGAGACGTCGCCCATTGCATAACACATCGAGGAGTAGTGGTTTTTGCTGCATTGAGTAACCAAATAGGGTCTCATTAATAGGATCATAGGGTACATCAAAATGAATACCTTCCCTATTTCCTATACCTGACTCAGCACTTTTCTCTTCCAACTTCACCTGGGGGGTAGGAGGATATTTTCAAGGCTTGTAGAATTCCTCCTGAGCCTGGATTTGTCCTCTGAGCCTTTGCAGCTGTGAAGGCTTCACGCGTGGGCAATGGGGAGCCTTAACACGGTGCTGCAGGGAGAGAATATTAACTCCACGAAACGTACGACCCTTTTCTACGCTCCGTAGTACTTTGCCCAACTTTTCAGGTACCGGAATAGTTTCTAAAGGCTTTTTCTTGGCCTCTAACTCTCCCCTGAATTTTTCAAAGGCTTGAAAACCACGAGAAGCAATGTTTTTTGTTAGAGTATCTTCACAGGATACTTTTAACGAATTCTTACTTTCGTGGGTGTTCGGCTGGAGTTTCCTGGTCGGTGCAGAGTCTTTTTTCGCGGAGCCTCCATTTGCCTCGGCGATTTCCCCTGATGCCGGCCGGTCGTGACGTTTTAAATTCGCGCCATCATTTTCTCCTTTTTTCACCCGCTCCGAAGTCGCCACGTCGTCGCCTTTTCCTGCTTTTCGGATCTTTACGCGATCGCCAGGTCGATCCGCGGCTACTGGCGATTGCCGTTTTTTTGACTTCGTGGGGTGCTCCACTGTTACCGTCCTGGAGTGCCGCATGTGCCTTCTTCATTTTGTAGCAATTACTGATGCCCTGCTGCGCCGCAAAACTCGCATTTTGTCGGCTGCTGCTTCGCGTCGTATTTGTCGATATCCATCGGTTCGGCGAACGTGGGGGGTGCCGATCGCTCCGTGCCGAATGTACGGTTCGGCGCGAAACGTCGTGTTTCGGGTTGACCTCGAGCCATAGCGTCGTATCGCTCGGCAGCACGCACGATGTCGCGGTAACTGTTGTAATTCGCTGCAATCACCTGTCGGCGAATCTCCAATTTTAACCCTTCTGTGTACGCCTGGATTTTTTCGCCTTTGGTCAAGTCGGTGATGCAATTGAACAGTAGCTCCATCTGCTGCGTGTACTGTGCTACACTACTGTATTGCTTGTGTTGGTGCATCTGCTACCCCGCCATGTAGGTCGTATTAATGGGTTAAAAACGTTCGATTAAGTCTGCCCGAAACTGCGCCCACGATTTCTCCCCGCGGGCCACGTCAGTGTAGTAAATCCACTCCAGTGCCGGTCCACGTAACAGTGTCGCTGCGAGCTGAATTGTTGCTGCGTCGTGTGTCGGGGTCGAACAACCAATGGCCTCGAAGTAGATTTCAAGGGTTGCCACGAATCGCCGGACGTCGGATCCCTTCGCGCTGGGATCGAACGCTTCAAGGAGCATCGGTCGTGCTGCTTCGAGGTTCGGCGAAAGTGGTGCCATCAGTCCGTGAAATGTCGGAGTCGCCACTGCTATTGGTGTTGTCGCTGCTACGTTCTGCTGCATTCACTGCTGCTGCGGTGGCGATTCCTAATTGGTGTGTCAGAAGGGCCTCGAGTCGTCGTATCGCGACCTGCGTCTGCTCCTTGTTGGTGCGGAGGCTCGCGATGTCATTCGTAGTCACGTAGTTGTCGCCTTGGCCCTCCATGCCTGACATTGCGCGTCCGAAAAACCGAAACTAGGGTGAGCGAAAAACACGGAACCGGCCTTTCATACCCGAAATCGATGTTTAACTGCGTCGCCCCCGCGGTTTTTGAAGACTCGGTTTTTAGCGGTCGAAAAATGTTCGCGTGTAAACAGGCTCTGATTACCAAGTGTGAGGATCTAGGATCGACCTCAGAAAAAAAGAATGTGAATTGAATGATCACCTGGGTACAACACGAGGCTATATATAGGCTCGACACAAGGCCCAGTAACCAGATGTTACGCGAACATACCGAGGGTCGCGAAACGTCACGAACAGACCCTTCCCGAATTCGGTAGAAGGCATTTCGGTGGCAACCGAATAGCTCAGAATTCGGTGTACGCAACCTAGCTCGGTGCTATAACTATAATAAAATATAGGAAAGCACCTAGCCTAGGAAATCAAGCAATTCATGCATGCATAAAATAAACCTAAGCTAGTAATAGCGTAATAAGATAAAAGCAAGCATGCATGGCTGGCATAAGCCGTCGTGCTCTCACACAGATGCACCAGACATCCCGACCCCGCGCACTTACGCTGAGGCGATCGCGGGTGAGTACTCATCTCAGTGGCAGACAGCCATGGACGCAGAGATGGCATCCTGGAAGTCCACAGGCACCTACGTCGATGAGGTTCCCCCTCCTGGGGCGAACATCGTCGATGGCATGTGGATTTTCAGGGTGAAGCGGCCGACGGGTTCTCCGCCTGCCTTTAAGGCTCGATATGTTGCACGAGGCTTCAATCAGCAAAAAGGAGTTGACTTCTTCTAGACCTTCTCCCCCACCCCGAAGATGACTACTCTTCGGGTGCTGCTGCACGTTGCCGCTCTATGTGACTACGAGCTTCACTCTCTGGACTTCAGCACAGCGTTCTTACAAGGCAGTCTGCACGAGGAGATCTGGCTGCGCCGCCCACCTGGCTTCACTGGGTCGTTCCCTCCTAGCGCCCAGTGGAGCCTCTCTTGGCCAGTCTATGTTCTCCGTCAGGCGCCTCAAGAGTGGCACGACTGTTATAGTCACAATAGGCTTCAATAGGCTTCAATGTGCCTAGAACCAAAGATAGAGTGCACAGTCAGATTTCTGCACAGCGGCTTTAAACATTCATAGCGATCTGGTCACAGCTCCAAATGACCTCATTCAACTTGGATCTGGAGCGTCTTAACGTCGCCTACAATAGGCAATTTAGATCGCACAATTTCATCAAGAATTGACGACACAGCGTCAGATTGAACGAACGGCACTATGGCAGCAACATAGTCTTAGCACACACAATTACGAAGCACTAGGAAGAGTTACGAGTTGGGAAGGACT